TTTTCTTGTCATGTATAAAAGAAAAGGTGGACCAATTCCTTTCTGAAGCAGCTGATGAAGTAGGAACTGAAATTATACGAACAGCAAATTTTACTAGTTCAGGAGCTGCTGAATAAAAATTGCCTTTCCACCATGTGATTATATCTATGTCATCTACTATCTTCCATGCCAATGAATTATTAAATGGACCTGAATGTGCCTTGTATTGTAATAACTGGCCCCAAATTTTTGAAGAATCATTATAATAATATTTTTTGATGAAATCAGAAATTACATTCATGCAATTTTCTGGTAATACATGATTTTTAAACTTAGGGTTAAGAAAATAAGCTACCATCATTATAGGATTGTATATTTTTTCCCATCGTTTTTCAATGATTTCTTGAATTTCGTAATTTAAATTATCTATCAAAAAAGTTATTAATAAGATTATTACCTATGATAAAAAATTGAACATATTTAAATAAATTAAAATATTACCATCTGAATTAAAAAGATTTTGATACCAATTGTAAAAATATGCTAAGTTTAGTTGATCACTTTCATAAAATTTTATTCCATCAAATAATTTATTTAAAATAATAAGAGTTGAAACTATATTGTTCCAATATTGCTGACTTTGTATAATTAATTTTACTTCACTATCTAAATCAAATGAAGAATCAAATGATAATTCTGTAATTGTAAGTTCTAAAGCTAATTTATTTTTAATAACTGATTGTAAACACATAACAGAGGACCCCCAACGTGTTTTTACAGGTAACTTGAGAGATGTTGGATATTGATAATTTGCCTTTTGATGTCTCTTAAATACTGCTGATGGAATTAAATGTGCCTTAAAATATTTAACAACTTTCTTACAATCTTTTACAACTATATCCACCCATGATATTTTAACAATATCATTGATCAAAAGATTTAAATTATGAGAGATGCATCCCAAAAAAAACACACCAGGATAATTTTTACTTAATATACTCCATGCTTTTTTCATTACACTAGCATTATCGGTCACCACAGCTGAGAGTTTGTTAATATCTAAAGTTTTGATAATATCTTCTATGTCTGCAGCAATATTTTCAGCTGTTTGACGAACTTCACCAGTAGTATTGGCTTTTAAAAAAACAGGTTTTGGAGTAGTTAATATATAATTTGTCCAATGCTCTTGAGTGATGCTTGTCCTATAATTAATTTAATTAATTAATCATATATATTTGAAAAAAAAAGAATATATGAATGCATATATAAAAATGTTAACTACATACCAACCATCAGAAATCAAACTTATATATTCAGCACTTTCAACTAACTTGTCAACTTCTTCTTTTGTTTCAATAAAAACTTGATCAAGCAATTCATTTGAAAGTTTTTTTCTTCCAGGCAATTTGAATGCAGGACGAGCTTTTTGCCACAAAGTTTTTATTGGTGCTGATTCAGACAATGAAAGAAACAAACCACACTGATATATTGATTTAGCAAATAATAATTCTAACTCATCTTGCTCTGTTTTAGAAATTCTATCAACGAAATTATTTATTGAGTGATTTTGTGAATTAGCTGTAATTGTATTAATTGATGATGATGATGATGATGATGATGATGATGATGATGATGATGATGATAATGATGATAATGATGATGATGATGATGATGATGATGATGATGATGACGACGACGATGCTATCAAATTCATATCTTGAGAAAATTTTGGACCGAATAATGATTGTAGAACAGAAACTGGTACAGAACTACATTTCTTTAAATGCAGTTCACACCTTCCAACTGCATGATTTAATTCATAGTCACAATACTTGCAT